GAGCCTGGCGCCGGACTGCAGTATTGTACATAGGTGTATATCGGCTTCGGCCCTAGTGACTAAGTTTATATTATGTGAATTTTATTTATGTTCGGCCGCGGCCTGTACAGAGCTCATATCACTTGGCGCATGACGCGTATGTAAGGATGTGTAGAAAACTATCTATGTGTTACAATAAAACATGATAGATGACACCTGCTTTTTATTTTAGTTTAGTAAGTGCAATTGAGCAATCTGGCATTATTCCACTTTAAAACATAGTATTTTGAATGTTTGTTTTATTACCATAATGTGGCAAGAGGAGTGATCGCTGCCCACAGATATTCGCAATAGCGGATGCGCTGCCTACCCTTAATCGACGGTAGAGGAAACGCACATACACAGGACATTTCCCCTTCCTATGCTCCTCCACCGCAGTCAAATCCACTTTTCCTTCCCACTCTTTCTTCTTAAGATAAGGGTAAAAAGGAAAAGATACTAAAATTAGGCCGTCCACACTACATCCATTAGGCAAAACGCGGATTTGCTCCCACTTCACGCCTGTTTTCTGTGTGGTCGTGATATTTCACCGAGTGAGCCGACTCTGCAGTGCGAAGATGTTAAAGCGGGCTCTACCAATGTTGAACACTGTTTTATTACATTTTCTGATTTTTACAATATTGTATTGTAGTATCTACATTATAAATAGTCAGAGTTTATGCATATGCGAGTAGTAAGTACACTTAAAGCAAAAATTGTCTATTTGTAATTGTAGCTACATGATGCCATGAGTATGAGGATTATTATTGCAAGAAAGAAAACTATTTAAAATCACGTAATTTTTCTTCTTCTCTTCTGCATAACTCATTGTTATGTTTTAGGGTTTATTAGAAACCGGCGCTTAGGTTTACACCGCAGCACATGCCGATTGAATTCCTTCTCTGTAAATAAACTAATTTCTTTATTTCTTTCCTAATTATTATGGCAAACCAAGTTTAAATAATTATAAGTACTAATATTATAAATGCGAAAGTTTAGATGGATGCATGGATGTTTGTTAGAGTTTGTAACCTAAACAGCTGAACGGTTGGTATCGATATAGAGAATAGTGTGGAAGAACACATAGGTCTTTTGTTTTTTTTTTTTAATTTCACACCGACGGATTCGCGGGCGAAACCTAGTAAATAAATATATATGTACTTGCCAGTGCTAGCAAACCAACGCCATCTCTCGGTGTACGCCAAATATTTCATCCGCTAGGATGCTGGATGTGTTATTTATTATACTCAACTAGAGATGGCGCTGTAATATATTAACTTAATTAAGTGTCAAAGAGATCACATACGTAACAGTATATATATTAATAACGAGCTGTTGCTCGCGACTTTGTCCGCGTGGTATTAGAAAACATACGAACTATATAAATTACAAAAAGCTACGTATCCCTCGGGAACCGGACATTTCTCTGGGATGAAGCTTATCTCATGTGTACGCCAGACTTTGTTTTATATCTGTGTTAAATTTCAATAAGATATGTTGAACCGTTGCAGAATGATCGAGTGAACATTAAAAAACTAAATTAATGAATCCCACGGGAACCGTAACTATTCCCATGATAAAAAGTAGCCTATGTGTTTTTCCAGACTATGCTCTAAACCTGTGCCAAATTTCATGGAGATCTGTTCAGCCGTTTAGGCTACAAACGCTAACAAACATCCATTCATCTAAACTTTCGCATTTATAATATTAGTAAGATATTAGTAAGAAGTAAGATTCTTTTGACACCCGGCAATTGTTAAAAAAAAAATTCCAATTGAATGTCAAGATATTAGTGACATAGCTTGTCAGATCACTTCGCGTCACTACTTTACCCATTTTGTGTGTGTTTTTAAATGTTATTTTATCAAAAAAAAGTGATAAAAGAGTTTAAGAGTAGTATCAGAGAGCTTTTTTTGAAAGTGGGAGATATTTTTATCGCGGAGAAGCAGTAGGTGTGTCCAGTAATTACATTTGAAAATATGAATCATCTTTTGTCTGTTGTAATGAAAAATTACTGCGTGTATTCAGAAACCGTTTGTTTAATGATTTTATACCGCATCGTTTCGTTGGAACCGCGAGGCATACCGCACAGTTTGTACAGTGTGTTGATTGTAAACAACAAATAATCACTGAGATTTCTAATAAATGTCGAAATAAGCACTAATTAAGACAATGCCTATTATGTTAAGGCTATTCCTCCCCGTACTGTCTGAAGAGCTTTGCTGAATGTTTGCTACAAAAGTTCTTTAGCTGTTAAGTCTTCTATAAAGGCTTTTTCCCGACAAACGAAATCCTTTAACAGTTTGCGTTATTGTATTCAAAATTAAAGAATTTCCATTTAATGTTGAAATAATACCTTGCTGATAACCCTAAATGATCAGATAACCCTAAGGCTCCCTCCTGTCAATGTCAAAAACATGCCACAATATCCTTGTACTACTATCACAGGGTACTTTGTAACATACACGTAACAAATTGTATAACACGAAGAAAAGCGCCATCTGTATTTCATAGTTTACAACTTTCTGTCTTTCTTGTTTTTTTTAATAATGAAATGGTGCAAACGAGCGTCATTTTAAATAACAAAATAAACATCTAAATATAATACCATTATGAAAAGATTTATATATCTACCCAAATAGTGCATTATATCAATTAGGAAGTAAAAACAAAGGATACTGTTGGACGGTTACTTTCTGCCGTCCTGAGCTCTGGAGGTGTAGGGCTATTGAAACACTGTCTTCACATAGTTAACAAGTATATTACAAGTATCAACAATCACATTTTACAATTTCATATTTCATATACCCTACGGTGTTACGCGGTACGTATCGAGATGAGAAATCATACATAAACATCAGTGACATCAGTTGTACAAGTTGTAGTACTTGATGCATACCTTAAAATAATAATCTGTTATTTTAACAAAAAATAATAAGGCTAGTGACTAAAACAGTAATACCATATGGAAATAACATGAAAAATCTGAGACTAATGGCCCAAATAAAATTTTCCCACCTTCTTACTGGTTACATCTTATTTAATATTATTGTACTCATTAAAAGCATGATTTAATGTACAAAAAAGTCTAAGAGAGATTAGTGTAACTATTTACTACTTTTACTTTACTGCTATAAATATGGTCGTGAAAGAACCAAATAAATGTTAAAGACAAAACACTACAAACAAATACTTAAGCAGTCCGGCAATGTACAGGGGCACTAGGCCATAGATGTGGTCTATAGCTATAAATTCTCATTATACGAGAGGAGACGTCTTACTGCTGGATAGAGACAGTGTTATATTAAAGTCTGTAATGTTCTAAAGTAAGCAGACACAGAAACAGACATACCTCCTTTTTCTTTAAAACCAGGATTGCACCTACCTAAATACCGTTGAGTATTTTCAATTAAACGATAATACAGAGTACTTTAACGATAATTATATGTAATAGACATTTTACTTATTGAGAGACTGACATCGAATTACAAGTGACAATTAAAAAGAAGTAAATCAGAGTTGAAAAAAGGTTTCATTCAACAAATACACTAAAAAATACTACAAAAAGAGCTACGAAATAGCTCCATCTATCGTATATTAATTGAACTAGTAATTTTTTATTTGTAAAACTGCCATCTGTTACTGCACGTTGGCATATATAACAAATATAATACTACTAAAAACAAAATTAGTCTGTTTCTTTTAATCAAAATAGATTTAAGGTGCTCCGTTATATTGCAATATTTTATCTTCGGGTTTCCAAGTTAAATGTACTGAGATTGTGCACCCTGTGAGCATGCAATAAAAATGTTTGAGAATATATTTAAAGTAAACCTGTTCATTTTAAGTAAAATAAATAATTTAATATTACTGAAATTAGTATTGTAAGTAATCAAACAAGGATGTCGAGTCCTGTAAGAGAGGTGCTACTACCAGTCGACTCTGTTAGAAAATATATAAAATGAAGAAACCTACATGAACAAAGACAATAATATAAAAGAATGGAGCTGGTGAGGCATTATAACATAATTTACTTTCAAAGGGCAGATATAATGTAGATCTATATTCAATTAAGTGATGTATTGCAATCGCAGGGAACAACAAAGACAAAAGATCTATCGATTTTAGATTAATGAAAATTGAAAGTTTTTATTATTTTCTTTAATGATTAAAGTTAGACGAATAGAAAAAAACAAATTATTGTTTGTCAACATTTTGATTTTTTAAGTTTTATCTGTTTAATTTTATTTGTATAGCAGTTAAAAACAATAATAACGAAATTAATTGATTCCAAGTTCTATGTAAACAACCACTGAAAACCGTTTTCTCTAAGATTACCGAAACACTCCAAGATTATACTTAACCCATCTTTACTGAATCTTCAAACTAAGCAGCTCAAAAAAAAAGAAGCTCTATTGTGCAGAAATGTAAACAGGAAGATGACGGTATGAAATTCATCAAATCTATATCGTTGGCGTCGTTTTAACTCCGTCCTAATAGATGGCGCTGTGGCAAGCTGTGGCAAAGTCTCGCCACAGATGTAGTCGCCCGCTAGTCGCAGACGATTTTTGACCGACTTCCCAAAAGAAGGAGATACTCAATTCGTCTGTATGTTTTATGTATCTTACCGCATAACTCCGCCGCTAGTAGACTGATTTTGATAATTCTCTTTTTATTCGAAAGGTAATGCTTGCAGGTGGGTCCCATTTTTTGTTTGATTTTTGGAGTCAAAGACTACGACGTAGTTAACTAGTTTAGCTCAAGATCGCGCGACGAAATTTAGGGTTATTGTTGCTTTCTTTGCTTATGTATCCTAAACTATAAGACTTACATAAAAATGATCTATGGAAGTATTGTAACTCTTTAAATTTGCTTAACAAAAGTTCACGATAGCATAATATGTATATCTATCTATTAAGGTTGTCGCACAATAACCACTTTTTTCATTAAAATATAGTTAGAGATCTATACCCCACTTTCAACGCTTTACTCGTGTTCGGTATGAATCCTTATCCAAATAAATGTGTCTATCATCAAGAGAATTTAATGTAGATTATAAATGCCCTTGGAACTGTATAATTCCGATCTATAGTTTAGGAGATATCATCATCATTTAGTGTATTTTTATTGTTTTTTATATATGTACGAGTAGATCAGTGTTTTTATGTTTTAGTTTGGTTAAAAGAAGAGCGCGACGGGTGGTTTCGCCGGAACGCGGAGCACGGGTCCGCCTTCAGTTACGCTCGCGTGCGGACTTACAAGAACGAAATGCGTATGGCGACGGGAGCATATTATGTTAATTAAATTTGATTAAAAATTAACAAATACACATATTGCAAAAATCTTCTGGTTACCAAAAGCATTTGTGTATCAAATCAAGCACTTCGATTTCTTACTTTCGTATTAGTATTTCAGACAGGTGTTTTTTCACAGAATTAGGCACATTATGAAATAGACAATGTATCGAGAAAAGTTTGTCCGTCCGCGATTCTTTTGCATATCACGAATCAGATCTTTGTAGAAGTCCTGTTCCAATCTTACAAAGATGCGCAATTTCGTAAAGCCGCGCCATGAGCAGTACTCTCGTGCTAGTATAAAGAGTGGTAAGCGATGACATGGCCATGTGTAACAGTGGTTAAATCTATACTATTATAATAAAGCGTAAACACACACTTCTTTGTTGCCTAAGATTTCAGCAATTGTAGCATATTATTGAATAAATCTTTTTTTAATATTAAGCCCTACACTTAGGTCACGCTTTAGGCTATATATTTTCACGTCATTAAACTTAGGGAGTAAATATTTTAGATAAAAACCCTAATGTGAGAAAGAGACCGTAAGTTGCTGCCAACATCAAGGAAGCAACACTGTATAGGTTTGTCATGTCACGTCATTTTGACATTTGCTATTGATAATTTGACAAATGTAACTACACAATAAAATAAAGTTTTTATAATTTCATGCGGATGAAACCGCAGAGGAACAGCTAGTTAGGTAATAATATTATACTTTGTTCCAGGATATGAACGACGTATGTGATGTGATGAGCGGCGCGGCGGAGGGCAGGACGGGCGAACAAGAGGGGGGGGGAGCATACAGG